GCCATGCACGCACGGCTGACCTTGTTGCGCATGTCGTAGACGTAGCTCTCAACGGCGTTCTTCTTCTCCTTGGTCTCCTCCATAAACGCGGTCTCTGCAGCGCCATCACAACTCCTCCTCCACCAGCTGCTGCAGGCGCTGCAGGAGGCAGGCCCCCCACCAGGTGCGCCTCGATCGGCACGTCCGTCTTCTTCGTCTTCTTCTTCTTCACCATCTCCGGCTGCAGAACGATGGAGTGCGGTGCCAGGTGGTGCAGGAGAAGGTAGAAAAAAGGGGGAATCTAGAAGTCCTGAGATTGGGTTAAATTTGGGACTAAGAAGTCTGGGAGCCACGCTCTATAATTTCACGTCAGCAGCACGACGGGATGCTGAATGCCGTAACCTTGGCTGGTTGAGCGGCATCATCCATCCTTGGCATCGCCCTCCGCGCCACCAGCTGCAAGCAGCAGCAGCATCGGCCTCCATGGGCGCCCCCAGCTGCATCGGCGGCTGCGGGGGGCAGCAGCGGCGTCCTTGGCGGCCTTCTTGGCCGGCACCTCCACCCTCCTCTCCTCCAGCAGCTGCCCGCACACGGCCATTGGGCTACGGATAGGGGAGAGGGAAGCAACCTTGGTAACACAATGCACGTCCGTGCAAACAGCGAGTGCTTGATGAATTGATTCTGTGAATCCCTCTTTTGCTTCTGCGCATAGTCTTTCTCTCTGTGTGGCACGTCTTAACTGCATTCAGCCTCAGCAAAGGTTTCTCCTTTGCTGCCTTGCTGCAACTAAACATCAGCTGAAAAGGGAGGCAGCGCTGAGGATTCACCAACACCAAGGTGGAGAAACAGCAAACTCACCTTTCCATCCTCCACTGACAACACATCCCGGCCTTAGTTGGTTGCACCTGTAACCACGCAGCTCACCGTTCACAATGCTTCATACCGTTTATTTTATTCTCCTTTCCTTCTCTTTTCCTTTTCATTTCTGCCCCCTTGCCTCTTTCTCCACGCTGTTCAACGCACCCATCCTAAGTGGCAGGCAGGCACTCACCGTGGCGGATTCGACGGACAGGATGCCGTGCAGGTTGAGTCGGATCTTCACCTTAAGCTTCGGCTTCGAATCCGGCCGCGACGGTGCGAACGGACCTACCTGCCATGCATGCACAGGGGGAGTGAGGGTGGAGGGGTTCAAAAGGGTTAGTTTAGGTTATTCAAACTTGACAGAGGAATCCACTGATGAGAGTTTGCATCAAGGTTCTGACAGCCAGTGTGCATGTGACGGCGGGGTTTTATTACCACATGCCTGAGCGCGCAGCCGCGGACTCACAGTGAAGGTGCCGATGCGCGTGTTGGCGCCAACGGTCTGGTCCTCGGGGTTGGCGTAGAAGGCGTCGATGGTGAAGGCCTCCGTGCGGTAGAACGTCAGCAGCTTCGAGCTCGGCAGCGGGTTGTTCTTCGAGAACACCACCTGGTTCGGCTGCGCCGCCGCCTCCTCTCCGCCGCCCTCAGGCGCCCTCCGCGGACGTCGCCGCGCTCCGCTTGCTTCCACGGAGAGTGCGATGGCGAACGGGTACGTGTCGTGCACCTGCGCGGGGGGGCGGGGGAACACGCGGGGTTGGGCGCGGTGGGTCGAGGGGGTGACGGGGGGGAGGAGAGAGCGATATGAAGCGAATAAACAGGGAATTGAGAGAGGTGGGATGGTGGCGAACGTTGGCCGGAAGAGCATGCGTAGCACGCACGCACCCTGCATCGTGCATCATACACCACGTGCTCTACACCCATTAATCAACGCAGCACCCCGGACAAGACAACTCACCTCGAACTCGCGGACTTTAAAGGCGGGGCTGAGCATGGCGCACTGCAGCGCGCACCCGCGCGCGACGCACTCGCTAGCGTTCATCGTGCGGCGCGGCTCCTTGCCGAAAAACTCCGCGAGAATCTTCATGATGGCCGGCACGCGCGACCCGGACCCCACCAGCTCGACGGCTGAGATCTGATCGACGGTGATGCCCGACTCGAGCAGCGCGCGCGCGCAAGGCGCCTTGACGCGCTCGAGGATGGGCTTGGCCATCTGCTCGAACTGGTCGCGGCTTGAGGAAGCCCGTCACGTCCTTCTCGTCCATCAGAACACTCCACCTGCACAATATGGAGCGAGGGTTTGGGTAAGGGGGAGAGGGGCCAAGGTTATGTTTTGAGAGATGTGCGAGGGGTGGAGCAAGGGACACGTGGGTGATTCACGGGGGCATATGACGTCAACAGAGAGAGCACCGACAGGGAGGCCAGTGTCGTGCGACTCACGTGCAGCGGCGACTCGGGTTGGCGCTGAGGACTTTCTTGAGCTTCTCGCACGCGGTGCGCAGGCGGAGGCACGCGCGGCGCGTTGGAGCGGATGTCGAGCTTGTGGTTGCGCGCGCACTCGTCGACGAAGTGGTTGAAGAGCACCTCGTCGAAGTCGCGCCCGCCAAGCGACCGGTCGAACGCGTGCGCCAGCACCTTCAGCTGGCCCTTCTTGAACGCCACGATCGACACCTGCATCGTCGAGTGCCCGATGTCCACGAACGCGATATTGAGTGGCTCGGTTTCCGACAGATCCGTCTTGTAAATTCCGTACGCCAGCGCGGTGGCCGTCGGCTCGTGCATTAGCCGAAGCGGGTGCAGCCCCGCGATGGTGGCAGCATCCAGATACGCGCGGCGCTGCGCGTCGGTGAGGTATACGGGGATACCGATCACGCAATCCGTGATCTTCGACCCCAGGTCCTTCTCGCCGATCGCTTTTAATCCATTCAGAACCATCGCAAGAAGTTGGGTGGGCGTGAACGTCCTGGGCTCGTTCATGTACATGACGTGCACGAGAATATCGCCGTCGGGGCCTTCTGAGCAGCGGAACGGGAACATCGGGAGGTCCTTCTGGAACTCGGGATCTGCGAATTTCCGCCCGATCATGCGCTTGATCTGCGACACCGTGTTCTTAGGGTTCATCGTGTACGACGCCGCTCCTGCGACGCCCAGATATCGCTGCGATTCGCCGAAGCAGACGACATTGGGGGTCTCGCGGTTGGACTCCTCGTTAAGCGCGATGTCGATTCCGCGTTGTCGCGCAATGCCTACCACGCCCCTCTCGTTCCCCACATCGAAGCCGACCACGCTCATGGTGCTCTGCCGAAATTGAAGGCTAGGTCACGGCAGAACTCGGAAAACAAGGGATCAAACCAGGACTCACAAAATTAACTGCTAGTCTAGGAATAACGTGGTCGGATTTTAGTAATCACAGATCCTGAAGAAGCAGCCAGAAGAGATGAAAGAGATTTGTTTCAAAACAGCCTAACATCCGATCCAGGATAAGCTGTCAGTGCCTTCGCGAACGTCGTGAATGTGAGTACAGTTTCTTCGCAAAACCTGTCTATTGCGCAGCGAAAGGTATGTACCATCTGTTCAACAGCAAGTAACGCATCGTGAGGACTTCGCTACGCCATTCACGTTCTAGAATGTCATCGTCACGAGACTTCGGGAACCTTCCTGGAGGCGGTTGTGACTGTGGACGACGAGAGCACGCCACGGCACTGCACCTGTCAGATTCTGCGGAACAGGTATGAGAAGATTCAGTGCTTCTGTAAAGGACACTTCGAAATGTTTGTGTCGGTATCTCACGCAAGGGCTGCATACACCGCTTTCAAACTAAATCGTGTGAGAAACTAAGGCCTCACCATACATCGAGCACCCAGTGTTGCATCGGACACAAGGTGGCAGAAAACAAACCGCGCAGTGTTGCATTTTCATACCTAACACAGCTCTATCATTACCAAACCTCTAGTTCATACCACTGAGTGGGAACACCGCTATTCTTTCCCAAGTACTCATAGTGAGGTCAGTGGGTTCAGTGCGGTAGAGTGCGAGCGATGAAACATGGAAGGAAGGAGATGGTAGCGATGCGGACTTGGGAGGGAGCAGGGATGAAAATGTCTCTTCAACCGCTGCTTTGGCGTCCTGCTTCTGGGCGTCTGAGAGATCACCATAAATGAGGCTGAGATGAGGCATGTATGCTGCACACACAGAACGCGAGGCCACGTAGAGGTGGGGGGTTGAGTTGGGGGTGATTGCGGGGGGAGTGGGTGGGGAGAAGAATGTGAGGGAACTTCTGTACTAATCAGGCGGTTAGGAAATTGGAAGGGATATTGTTGCAACAAGCAGGACAAGCAGGCAAGTGAGAGACACATTCTCAACATGGTGTCGTGGCACAACAATATGCCAATCCATGTTCGTACCAGCAACGGAATTCCTGTCCATGCCCATCACTTCCACTGCCTCGTTGTGCACATGGAGCACCTGATAGCACCCAGCCATGGATCGTTGGTCAGAGAGAGGGAGGGAGGGCACAACAGGCAAGATGCAATGATGTTCCATCATGAACCAGCAAACTCAGCAGCAATCGTGTGAGCCAGAAGTCACACCAACAATTTGATGTATGCATGTCACTCACCAGCAGAAGGGCACAAACTTTTTGAGAGAACAAGAGAACCGCATGGCTGAGCAGCACGAGAGCGCACCTCTTTTGAAGGCAGCATCTTGATGTACACGCATTGGAAGAAGAGCCGACCAGCAGCCAGCTCCATGACTTGGATGTCGTATGGCTTTAAGGACGCACTCAATCGCTCCATGCGCTTCACCACCTCCTGCTCGTCCAACCCCTCCCTCGCCCCAAACGCTCCTATCACCGTCACATGCGGCTCAAATGGCGTGCACTTGAGCCTGCGGGACAGGTGCGGTAAGAAGAGCCTCAATTGTATGCTTCGGAATCAGACAAATCCCACAAAGTTGAACAAAGAGATTTTTCTTTCAAGATGACAAACCTGCTTGAGAGGTTCGAGATGGCTGCCGAAGCTGAGGTGTGGAATGCCGAGCCTTCTTCAGGCATGGCCCAGATGGAAAACTGATTCACCTTCGCTGACGTGGCACGAGCTGATGCGTTTCCTGGCTTATCCCGCAACGGATCAGCATCCATGGCTGACGTGGCAATGTCGGGGGAAGTGGAGGACGAGAGGCGCGAGAATGCGAGATAGGCGATGAGTAAGAATACTACCAGAATAAGGACGGAGCGCCTTTTATCGGCGTTGAGTGGTCTGAGGAGCGGTAGGTTGCGAAGGACAGTGCGCGATGACGGAGGGAGCGGCATTCGCGTGCAAGAAAAGGGTGCTAGCGAATGATAGAGCGTTCGCGAGACCATGCAACGTTGGGCTCTCCGGCACGTGACAATGAATCTGATCACCCAGTTTCAGACAGAAAACCGACGAGAACCAGAAGGGAACGGAATGTTGACCTGCTAGGAACGAGCATTGGCGTGGACGGAAAGTCGAACGACGGTTACGCGCGTTACACGGTGGGAAACGCGGGGAGACTGCTAATCGAGGGCATATGGCACCGCCGACTCCTTGAACGATGGGAGACGGAGGAATGCACGCAGACATGGAAGCAGTGAATGTGGAAGGCCAGAAAGGTTCTAGTGAAGCCAGTAAATATCTGAATCAAATTGTTTTATTGGTTCAGTGGACATATCAGAGTGGCGCAGCGGAAGCGTGGTGGGCCCATAACCCACAGGTCCCAGGATCGAAACCTGGCTCTGATATATTTTGACGTGTGTTCCTTCAACCCCTCTCGCTGAGTTGATTTCCTACATATGGGACAGCCTAATGAGGTTACCTATCTATGGGAAAGTGCACCTCTGCCGCCCTTTTACGACCTAGATTGCAAGTGATCGTACCGTAACATTCTCCGAGCTCCTGGTCTCCATGTGTGTGGCAGCTCTTTTTGCCTTTGTGTTGCTAGCTACCGTACATCACCAACGCAGGTAACGTATCAGGAAGGCATGCCAGTCTGGCATGAACCTTTCGGTACATTTGTGGTCCATACCGATATCCAGGTCGTGCATTGATCCAGGACTAGGGCGGCTGGGCCGTGACCCGTGCACAAATGCAAACGGGGGCAGTTGATTTATTGTGGTTCAATATTTCTGCCGCTCTGACCTGCTGCATGTGTACCAAGGCTCGTGCCTGAGGGAATCATTGCTCAAAATCTTCCCTCGGACAGGTGAAGCCAATAGCTACTCTACAAAGCAAAAGACCTAGGGCCGAAGAGTGCCTCTTACAGAGGCAGGACAGCACCGGGCGGAACGGTATGAAGGAATCACGAAGGCTTTGCCTTGCGGTAGGCGGGCTTGCCCTTGAAGAGCGCCACCAGGTCGTCAAAGCCCTGCGGGGAATGGCAGTGAAGGGAGGATGCAGGCAAGGGACAGCTCCATTTCACGAGTTGAGGTTAAAACAACGGTTGACTTGTGCTGTGCGCGGAGTGTGCGGCGCACTGCGCATGTGAGACTGATGCTGGAGGCAAGAATGCACAGCTGTGATGTCACACGAGCATACCTTGGTGGCTGTATGGAGGATGACGAAGAGCGAGGAGAGGTAGATGGCCACTGCAAGGAATGTGACTAAATCGAAGGTGATGCTGGCCACCTGCACGCACACGTGGATGCACAGGAGTGGGCGAACACAGAGAAGAACAGAGCAACAAGTCAGTGGAGCAGGGAGGCAATGGCGTGAAGGCATGAAATATATTTTCTTCAAGGTCGGTGACTAGGATACGAGCACAACGCATTGAGCATGGTGGATGCACGGAAGGTGCAGACATGAGACGTAGCATGCTACCACGGCCCGCCCAATCCCACCTGGTAAATGTGCATCTGAGCATGCGGCGTGGAGTAGAGTGTGTAGTGCGGGTCCAGAGCTGCTTTCCTCACCTCCACCTTGTCCGCATGCAACGCCAGCTCCTGCCACGCGCACACGTAGACCGTTAAAATAAGCGAGGGGGCACAAGGAAGGATGCGAAAGAGGTCTCCAAGGCTGAGAGCTGTTGCAGCCGCACGCCATTGGGTGCTGAAGTTTACTGCAACGACGAGAAATGTCTCACCAAGTGTGGACCCCATTCTCTCAGACAAAGGATCTTACTGCTTGGATGGCGGCAATTATTGGGTCGTCCTTGGCCAATAGCGGGGCGACACGTGGCGCGCGGGAGAGGAGGGAGAGCCAGTGAGAGAGGTAGGGGAGGCTGGGGGCGAGCGATGAGTTGGGTGGGAAGAAGGCGATGGGGGGAGGGGCTGCCGCCGCTCCCTCAGATGGGGCTGTGCTGGTGCTGCTGCTGTTGAAAATGTGGCTCTGGAGAGGAGAAATGGAAATGTAGATATTCAGACATGAGATAAGGGGAGAGGGTGGACGGGGACAAACAGAAGCAAGGAGATAAACGGTTCAGGTTGAGAGGAACAGGTAGAAGCTGGGTGTAGGTACAAGAACGAAAGGGAGAGGGCGTGAGAGAGTTGGTCGCTTCTCACCGCAATGGTTTCAGCAATGAGGCGCGTGGCAGCCAGCAACTGGTGCTCGCCCACTGACTCCCTGCACAGCGGTGCAGAGGCATTCAGATACACATGTGCGGAGAGACGGCGATGAATTGAAGGCGGAGATGACAGACAAGTTGGAAGGACAGGTGAGGGATGGAGAAGGTGCCACAAACGAAAAGATGCATGGGTAAAGCACGCATGACAGGCAGGGAGAATAAATTGTGTTGCCAAGTGCTCGCATCCCGTTTCAACCTGATTGCACCTTTCCCAGCCTGGTCGTCCCTTCCCACCTCTTCATGCCTCCTCCCTTCTCACATCTCATCCTCCTCCATCCACTCCTTCCCCTGCTTACCTGGTGTCAGCCAGCCCCCCCCAGTGGCGCAGGAAGGGCGGCGCGGAGGGCAGGGAGGAGAGCGATGCGGCAACGAGCTTGCGGCGCGAGAAGAGCTCGTGCTGCCACGGCACACGCGCGTCCGAGATGTTCACCTTCTTGTGCACCAGGGCGATGGAGGTCCGTGGGTCCGCGGCTGCTGCAGCGGAGGACAGGCCCTGCAGGCGGGGGGGGAGGGGCGGAGGAAAAGAAGGGTGGGATTCGGAAAGAGAGGGAGCATGGCACACACGCGTCGGAGATGTTCACCTGGGCGATGGACGCTGGGGGGTCAGCGGCTGCTCCAGCTGAAGACAGGCCCTGCGGAGGGAGGAAGGCGAGCGAGGGGAGCACGGGGGGAGTGCATGGTACAGGAAAGGGAGGCAGCACGTAATGAGGGCAGGACGAGTGGCGGAGGGGGGGCTGCAGGGGAAGCATGGACGAAGGGCAGTGAGTGGGAGGGGTGGTGACGGGGAGAGAGCAGGGCTGCACGATGGTGACTCACATGGAAGAGTGCACTGATGGTGGGGTCCTTGAGAGGCCGCGACGCATGCAGGTGCAACCCACTGCCCCCCTCCGCTGCCCCTGGCGCTGCACCAATGGCGCGCAGACAGATGGCGAACTCGAGGCGGTCCTGCACACTCTGGTCCAACGAGGCTAGCCACTGGGGGGAAGGGAGAGAAGAGAGGATGGGGGAGCGAACTGAGAAGGGGTCCGAGGAGGTAAAACAGGTCGTTTATACCAGGAATCGGCGTGAGAAAGTTAAGTGGGTGACGAGGAGGGCAAGAGGGGGGGACGAAAAACTCACGCTCTTGACCTTTCTCCACCCCTTGCTTCCACCATCCCTCCTTCCCATACTCGCTCCCACCCACCTGCCAAGTTCCATCCTGCCAATGCTCAAGGCACAACCCCCCCCCCTGCCAGCCTGCGCCCACGCCCACCTGGCGAGTGCCGTCGAAGTTGAAGGGTCCCCCGGAGGAGAGCAGGAAGAGCAGGTGGAAGGGCGGACGCGCAGAGGGCAGCAGCGCGAACAGGCGCGAGAAGAGGCGCAGCACCTGCAGCACCGCCGCCACCCCGCTGGCACTGCTGGCCGGGCCGGATGCGAGCGACTGGGGTGCGGGTAACGAGTGACGTGGGGTGGGGGTGGGACGGGGAATGGCGGTGGGGAGCGAGGGGAGCATGGGGAAGTACGAGGGGCGGAACAGCAGCGCTGCCAGGGGAGGAAGTTAATGTGAGGGAGCAAAGGGGAGGTGGCGGAGGGCATGGAAGAGATGGAAGGCTGATAGAGCACGAAGAGGGGCAGCGGACTCTGTAGGACAGAAGGGAGGAGCGTGAGCAGGAGGAGCGTGAGCAGGAGGAGCGTGAGCAGGAGGAGCGTGAGCAGGAGGAGCGTGAGCAGGAGGAGCGAGAAGCGAGGAGCGGGAGGGTAGAGGAAGACGAGGCGTGGGAGTGCAATGCTGAGAGGAGGCAGGGGGCTGACAGGCACGAGGCCGAAGGTGTCAAGCGGCGCCACCACCGCCACTATGGGCAGCGCCTCCCTCCTCCCGCCCTGCGCCTGCCCCTGCCCCTGCCCGTCGCCGTACAGCCATGCCTCCAATGCCGGCAGGGGCGAGGAGGCCGGCAGCTTGCGGGGCTCGCCTGCTGTTACCACCAGCTTGAAGCTGATTGGATGAGAGGAGGGGGAAAGGGGAGTGGAGGAAACGAGGGAAAGGGAGGGAAGGGGAGGAGCGGGAGGGAGGGGCGATGGAGCAGGTGCGACGGGGAGGGAAGAAAACGGCAAGAAGTGAAAGGAGAGACGTTTGACAAGTGCGGTGCAGGCATGGCCATAAGTGCATTGCGTTTACGCCGATATGGGAAACTGATACACGCTCAGGGTGCCTTTTCTTTCCCGTGCAGCCAGACTCAGTGCTCACCCGCCATTGGTGGCCGATGCTGGCTTGCCCGCCCTGTCGTTGCTCTCCACGTCAGCCGCCAGCTTTGACAGCTCAGCATTGTCAACAGCGAAATACACAGGCACCTGCGGGTGGGAGGAGGATGGAAGGGGGGAGGGTGGAAAAGGGGGAGGGAGTTGGGTGGGTGGAATGTAAAGTGGGTGTTAAATTGTGTGTTAACCAATTCAGTCAGCATAGGAACCACTTGTTGACATCCAAAAAGTTGGCACAGAGCCGACAACAGTGCCAGCATGGCATGGTGCAGGCGCTCTTATCATCAGAGCGCTCCATTCATGAGAGCGCCCTGCGCAACGGCTCACTCACCGGTATGTTGGCGTCCAGCAGCCGCTCCTCTAGCCGCGCCACCACCTCCACGTGCTCCTTCACCTCCCCCGCGCCCTCTCCTGCCCCGGCCTTGCTGGCGTCATCGTCCGCATCGTCCTCCTCTCCCTGACCGCCATCTGGCAGCGAGGAGCTGAAGTGACGTGGCAGGATGAAGAGCAGCCCTCCCACCTTGCGGGATCCCGCCACCACCTCTGATGACGGGGCGGGGGAGAGCGAATGAGGGGCCGGGAAGGGGTTGAGACGCGCAGGTAAGAGAGGTAAGAGAGGGAAGGATCAGGGGAGGGAGTGGGGAGAGGCGGTCAAGGCATCATGGGTGATATGTGCGAGAAGGCTCATGCCGCAACATGGGACCAGCTTCCACATGCCGGCATGTCACATATCGCATGTGCAAGCGCGACGCCACGGGCTCACCATCGAGGAGGGTGAAGTTGATCCGTTGGATCGGCATCACGATCACGGCGCGCATCAGATCCGCCTCCGACGCTGCTGACGTGGACAGCCCCGACGACGCGTACAGGCTGAACGACGCCTTGCGCGACCCGAACGGCGCGCCGCCCAAATCGTACTGCGGCGAAACGAGACGGGTCGCGGACAGGGGAGCGCGGGAGGTGGGAGACCAAGTCAGGGAAGGAGGGAGGCATGGTCGTGGCGTTACGCGGCGTCACGTTTGCACTGGCCTGCGGAATTAGAGCCACACACGTCCATCTGTCGTCGCTCTTTTGCTAAACTTGCCCCGCCGCCACCGCCTACGAAGGAGCTCTCCCTGGTCCATCGCGCGGTGCGATACCCTGAGGCGGCTCAGCCGTGAATCGCACGTTTCTGCACTATCCACGCCGATCTAGCTTTGGAGCACCGAGACCAGGATTTTCCACCAAAAGCTTCTGGATCTGATACGATATGCATTGCATCGTACTGCACCGCATCGCACTAAACTGCGGCGGAAACACGCGGCTTCTCCCTTTCGGGGCCTCTCTTCTCACCCGCGCTGCGTTGGGACTCCGAGTCTTACAAAGCCCTCTACCTCGCACGCTGCAGCCAATCGAATCGCACGGCTTCTGACCTCGCAGCAACGACTTCGAGCTTGCCGAGAAGGAGCGCAAGCGACCCCCCCCGGGTTGCGCTCGCACGCGTTTATTACTCTGCGCATCGGTAGATCTAGAGGTCTGGGAAGCGAACTCGGATCGGAATTCAGGTCGTTCACGACACGGGCGATGGCGGATCCAACGGACCTGGATCATTCTGTAGACATCGACGACGGACGCGGCGTCGGAGAGCACGGGGAAGACCATAAGCGCGCCGATGAGCGCCACCGCCGCCTGCAGCACCACCGCCGCGCGCAGCAACGGCGCCGGGCGCGCGCGGCTGCAGCGGGAAAACGGATCCATGGCGGATCGCGGGCGAAGCTACGGGAGGCGCAAAGAAAGGCGACGCGCAGATGACGGATACGGAATGCGAGGTGCGTGGACCCGGGAGGCAGTTGGGGAGGGGCCGCAAAGGCTGGCTGGATCCGTGTTGCTGAAGGTGAAACAGGGCAGCGGCAGGGAGGTGACAAACGATGATTTGGGCTCTTTGGCCCAGCCCAGCAGCGTGGTGGCGGCAAACCGGATTGAATGGATTGAGGGCGTGTTTCGATTGTCTCGGATAGTTTTTCCTGGATCAGGTTGCATCAATTTCGAGTCTGTTTCGACTCCGCCATGGAGGAGAATGGGTCTCCATGAATCGTCCGCACTTCTGGCAGTTGCGACCCGATCACTGTTGCCGCGCAACGTCAAAGTCAACCGACTAATTTCTTCTGCATCCCAGCGGCTGTCAATCGTCACACTCGCTTCCGCTCCTTCCTCTCCCCACAACGTGCGCGTCGTCGATAGACAACGCCGTCCGTCCACCGTAGCACGTTTCTCCGTCCGCCGGCCGTCAGCCGTCCGATGGTCAAATGGCACGGCTTCGCTTGCGCTGCCGCCGCCGCCATCGGCCACAGCGGCATCGACGCGACGCGCAAGTACGCGTCGCAGACGCTCTCCTCCGCCGAGCTCGTGACGCTCGTCGGCATTCTCGATGCGCTCTTTCTCTCCTCCTTCATCCTCGCGTTCCGCCTCGTCACCGACCTGCGCTTCGTGACGTGGAAGCTCCTGCAGATTCTCGTTGCCAGCTCAGCAGCAAAGATCCTAGCTGGCGTCATGTACCAGCGCGCGTTACACGTAGCACCGATATCCACGACTGTTCCGTTCCTCGCGTTCGTACCCGTGCTCTTACTCGCAACATCGTTTCTTCTCCTGGGTGAAGTCCCGAGCGTACAAGGCGTGATTGGCGTCGTAGTTGTAACGGCAGGTGGTTACCTCCTAGCGTTACAGAGCAGCGCGGGAAGCGGCAGTCGCGGCTCGAGCAGATCTAACAGCCGTGCCAGTAGCCCTCGGTATGCCGTTGCTACTACTAGTAGCGGGATTTCTTCTAACGAAATCGAGGCTCTTGGTGATAGAATCGGGGCCTCCGGTACAATAAAACTTACTGACAGCGTCGAAGCTGATGATGAAGCTAGGATTTCTCGAATTGACTCTGCCAGAGCTAGCTCACCGGCTCGGGCCGAACCGTCGTCCCCTTTAACCCCCATCCCGGCTCAACCTAGGTCAATTTTGAGGGGAAATCACCCTGTTCCTTTTTCCGCACCTCCAAGCCACCGCACTGTAGCTAGACGTCTGACAGGAAAACCCCCAACCCGGAATGACGGGAGAAACTGACATTACTGAAAGTCCTTCTGGTGTTGCTGCTGACCTAAGGAATAGCTCTGACTCTGCTTTTGAAATAGCTTCGGATGCAGGCATGGATTCTCCAGACCTGCGTGCCGAGGCTGACTTGGTGCTAGGTTCGGACATAGCGTTGGATTTGAGCTTCGGGCAGCGAATCGATCGGGCAGTGAGTGAAAGACACTCGGGCAGCGGGTTAAGGGCAGAAGGGAGGGCAGGAAACGCGGCAGGAGAAGAGGAAAGAGAGGAGGTGACAGCTGGGGGAGGGAGGAATGCCACTTTGGCAGGCGAGAGAACAGGAGAGAGCAGACAAAGAAGTTTCACTGAAGGTTCTAGCAGCAGTGAGATTGTGGCCGGCGGTGGGTTCGGAGGCGGAAGAGGGTTCTATTCCCGAGCCTCAAGAGGCCGGTTCGGCACTGGCTTGGGAATTGGGCTAGGTTCGGCTCATCACCCCCAGGAGGATGGATCTGCCCAATCCAGCCCTGCCACGTCAGGAGGGCGAGCAATCACAAGGGGAGACGGGGCAAGAGGAGAAACAGGGGAGGTGGTGGGTGAAGGGGAGAAGGGAGGAGGGGAGGGCAAGGGGGGGAAGAGAGAGAGTGTGAGACAGCAACAGGAGGCGACAGCACAGCAAGGAGCAACGCCGGGGTCAGCAGGAGGGGTGTGGCGAACGAGGAGTGGGAGGCGGAGAGGCGGGTGGATGGGGGCGTGGTTGCTGGTGGTGCTGCAGCAGGTGTGGGGGGCGGTGGTGGGAGGGAAGGAGGAGCGGGATGTGGAGGCGGGGAGGAGAGGGTGGGTGAAGGTGCTTGTCTCGAAGACAACTCGTGTGCGCCTGCTGCTGGGTGCAGTGCTTGCCCCGTTGGGGTGAGTGAGTGAGTGAGCAAGTAGCCATGAGATCTCAGGCCTCCCTCGCCCCTTTCCCTCTCCTCTGCCTCCTCATCCACATTCCCGATTTCAGTGCTCTCCTCAATCAACCACTGTTTCTGCCGCTCTTTCTCCTGCCGCTCTTTCTCCTGCCGCTCTTTCTCCTGCCGCTCTTTCTACCTCTCTCCACTCCACTCCACTCCATTTTATGTGAATCAGAAAGAGGGTCGGCATCGTCTGGCAGTATCTGCACGGTCCGGTGAAGCGGTTACGAGTGGTGGTAACCGCATGGGCAAGGGCACCAATGCGAGTGGTAGCACGAGTGGTGCGGGTGCCGTGGGTGGTGGTGAAGGGCGCGTTGAGGTGGGTGGGCGCTCAGAAGCGCCACGAGGGGCCGCTGCTCATGATGGGATGCGCCGTGCTGCTCAGCTTCACCAACGGGTATGGCCCCCCCCCCGCCCCCCTGCTCCCTGCTCCCTGCTCCCTGCTCCCTGCTCCCTGCTCCCTCAGTTGCTCACCCACCATCCATTCCGCTCACCATTCACACGCATTCTTGTCCTCTGGCCATTCAATCTCCCTTCCCCTGCTGCTGCTTCCCCTTGCTGCCCCCTCCTTGGCCCCACCCACCTTGTTGCCCCTCCCTTCTGCCCCCACTGCTTTTCCCCGCAGGTGTGACAAGCTGGGGGTGCACCACTCGCCCTCAGTGGTGGTGTTTGCGGGGCTGCAGCGCCTCTTCATGGCCGTGCCGCCCGTGCTCTACCTCGCCGCCACCAGGTGTGTGTGCGCTACAGCCGCCACCAGGTGTGTGCGCTACAGCCGCCACCAGGTGTGTGCGCTACAGCCGCCCCCAGATGCGCTACAGCTGCGCCCAGGTGTGCTACAGCCGCCCCCAGATGCGCTACAGCTGCGCCCAGGTGTGCTACAGCTGCCCCCAGGTGTGCTACAGCTGCCCCCAGGTGTGCTACAGCTCCCCCCCAGGTGTGCTACAGCCGCCACCAAATGTGCTAAAACTGCAGCTGCGTCTGCCTCTTGCTGCCACCACATGCACAATCGCCCTCACCAAGCGAGACTTGCTGCTTCCATTGCACCACATGCAACTTGCTCTCCCCTTTTTCCTCACCTCTCCTCATCCCCCCTCCTTCCCGCTTCCCCCAGGCCATCGGCGTTTCCCCTGCTGCTGAAGCACTTCCCGTTGCTGGCGGGCATATCAGCGTGTGAGATCACGGCCATTGTGTTCTATCTGCAAAGCCTGCACTGGCTCCTCGTCTCCTACTCCGTTGCCGTCAGTCCCCTTCTCCCCCCCCCCTTCCCACTCTCTTCTCTTCCATCCAATTCTCACTCGGCATCGAGTCAAGCTGCTGCCGCCCAACCACCCGATATCCTGGGAACTGCCACGCGTAACGCATCCACTGCCTCACCACCTCGTGCTCTTTGAATGCCACTCTGATTCCTCGTCTTCCTTCTCACGGCATTGCCATGTGCCATTGTGTGCTGTGGCGTGTCTCCCCAGGCCAAGCGCAGCAACATCCTCATCTCCATGTTCGTCGGTTACTTCCTCTTCAAGGTAGCCCTCTACCTCCTCGATGCACTATTAAGTTTCCATCCTCTGCAAAGTCCGTTCCCCGCAATTCGTTGCGCATGGCTGCTTGCATGCTGCTTTGCTGCACATCAGTTGCATGTCGTTCCACTCATCCTCTCTCCGCTCCGCTTGCTCCTCCTGTGACCTCTGATGATTGGCATGTGTGCAGGAGAACATATGGAAGAGACTACCATACGTGCTGCTCATGATTGCTGGAATGACACTCATTATCTTTGCTGCATGAAGTGTACCTCTGCATTAAGTCTCCAATCATACCTCTTGAGTTGATAAATCCCATCTGTGCTGCCATCCCAACACTGATACGGTACAGAAGCAGCACCAGTGTATCACAGCATGCCTGTCAGTATCACAGCGTACCTGCCAGTATTTCTGGGCTCTTCTTAAAACCATCTCTGTCAGCGCAAACATCTTGCCTAGAGAACAACCACCGAAGCTGCAAGATTAGGCTTTTCACATACCAGATGGCCTGAGATGGCCCACCCACATTCAGGCACCTGCCACCTGAGTACAGCTGGCAAAGGCATTGCACACAGGAAATGGTTTCACACCATTTCCAATCGTCTCATTCAACTGTATTTCGCCTCTGCTGTTACGGTACTAGTCCACTTGGCTGTTTCTAGTCCACTTGGCTGTTGCTAGTCACACTTCGCTGTTGCAAGTGCCACAAGCACAGGTGCTGATTGTGACAACAGCACAAGGAACCTCAAAACTGCTGGAAACAATCGGTCCTAAGCGCCTCTGTCGTGTCGAAACACTAAGGCACAAGCGAAGCAGAGCATATCGAGGCACCAGCGAGTCAACCCGCGGAGGTTGAAGTAACCGCTGGAAGTTACGGGAAAGTCAAAGGTCAGCGACCTTTGACTTGACAAACACGGCGCGACAGCAAGGACACACAACTGACTCGACATTGAGCAGTTGCCCGAGTCGCACTGTATCGAGCCGCAGCAGTAAAAATTATAATTTTTAAACACACACTGTGTTTTTTAAAATTGTGTATTGTGAAAGCGAAGCTGCTTGTACTGCACAATTGGCATCGTCGAAGCGCGCTAAACGCCCTTCTCCAACTACAAAAACCGTGGGTTGGAGTTCATTTCCCTCCACCCACGCTTCTCGATTTTCAAACGGCTCACTCACCCATTTGTAATGAGAACGATGCCAATTGATAAGAATAAGAAAGCAAGCTTTCTCAATCAGTTGAATTATATCTCTTCGTATTCCTTGTACTCTTATATACGGTAAATCTTTGTACTTGCTTGTTTCAATTAACTTACTTTGCCCTCACATACTAGTGCAAGGTGGTTCAGAATCCCTTTATTAACGCTTCCGCTACTACATCACTCTACCCAGAGTTTAATCCTACCAAAGATCCTAAGGGGTGCTCAGCCCAACAAAAACAAGAAATGATCAATCACAAACAAGGTCACATCACAAAAAATCATGATATCTAACCAGATCCTTTAGTCACAAACAAAACACATCAGCTATTGGATAGTCATATCATATCTGCTAGAAAAAGCCCCCTGCTCACCTCACAACACAACCCCCTCCCAACCTTTTCCATCCACTTGCTCCCTCACCTCCCTTTTTCCCACTTCCAGCCCACCTGACAAGGCTCCTTCCATCACCAGCCTTGCTCTTCTTCTCATCTCACCATTGCTGCTCCACCACTCAAGTCACTGCTGTCATGCCTGCTTGTGCCACAGCTGTTCCAACTTCCCACCACAACTTCTCCTGCCAGAGCTGCTCCAACTGTTGCTGCAGTTTCTCCCGCCACAACTGCAACAGTCCATCTGCGAGGCAACAACTGCTGCCGCTGCTACAAGGGAGAGCATACGACTCTCCCCTGCTTGCCCTGCATCCACCGTGCATTGCATCAGCCTTGCACCATCTTCGCCTCATCTCCTGCTTCCACTACCGCCTCCCACCGTGCTGTCACCCCCACTCGCTCCTTCCACTCCCACTCTAACCGCACTTCACTCACTCCCACTCTTAGGCGCACTGTACCTGACTCACTCCTACTCCCACTCACTCCAGTCACTAGCTCCCACCCTCGCACCATCTCTCACTCATTCCCACTCTTTGTTGCACCAACTCTCCATCAGTCCACTTATTCGCACTCTCCCAACCATTTCCACTCTTACTTGCTCTGTTTCCCCTTTTCCACTCGCACTGTCTCACTCATTCCCACTCTTACTCGCACTGTCTCTCATTCCCACTTTTCCTCGCACTCATACCCATTCTTATTCGCATTGTCTCTTCTCACACTCATTCTCACCCACTCCCACTCTTACCCGTACGCATTCTCTCTCACTAACTCCAACTCTTATGCACCGTCTTTCAGTCACCGCCGCTCTTACTTGCTCTGTCTCTCACTCACTCCCACTCTCACTCACACTGCGCCGTTCACTATCACTGTCCCTCTCCCTGGCCCTCCTGCCACTCCCACGGCTCTTCCCGTCCCTCTCCCTCTCCTGATGCCTCCCCTTACCTCCTCCGCTCCTCCTCTCCCTTCGCTCTTTCCTTCCACTTCTCCTCTCCGATTCGCTATCACTCTCATCACTCTCCCGCTTGTTCTTCCTCCCACTGTGCCTGCGCTTCTCCCTCTCCCTGCGCCTATCCTTATCACTCTCACTCTCACTTCCCTTCCTATCCTTGCTCCTCTCCCGCTCCCGCCCACTGGCACCAGCCTTACGTCTGCCCCCTTCCTCATACCTCTCTCTTCCACTCCCCCTGCTGCCATCACTGCTGCCAACACTCCCTTCCCTCTCACCTCTCTCCTTCTCATACCTCCCACGAGACTGCGTCTCATGGCTCCTGCTGCTGCCCTTCCTATCAGACCTCCTGCTCACCGCCTTCCCCTCATCCCCATCACTGCCGCCCCCCTCACTCTCCACACGCCCGCTCCTCTCGCTGTCACTATCCTCCTTCACTTTCCGCCTCGCCTTCTCGCCCGAGTGGCTGCCCCGTTTCTTTTTCTCACTGCCCCTGCCCTCCTGCTTCTTCTCATGCTTCTTTGAGCTCTCCTTCTCCTCCTCCTCCTCCTCATCTCTATCTCTCTTCGTCCTGCTTTTTCTCTCGTTGCTCTTGCTCCTGCTCCTGCTCCTGCCCTTGTTCCTGCTCCTGCTCCTGCTCCTGCTCCTGCTTCTGCTTCTGCCCCTGCTGCTGCTCCTGCTCCTCTCCCGTTCTCCTTTCACATCCCTCCCTCCCTTCCTTCCACCTCGCCCCCTGTCCACACGCCTGTCCCCACTCCTCCTCGCGCTCCTCCCCTCGTCGCCCTCACTGCTGCTCCCAGCTGACGTCTCCTTCCCCCTAACACGCTGCTCGGTCTCCTCACGCTTCTTCATCAACCTCCTCTTCTCCTGCTCCTCTCGGCCGCTCTCCTCCCCCCCGCTCCTACTCTCACTCTCATCCCTCTTCTTCGAAGTATCTCGTCCCTCACTCGCATCCTCAATAATCTCCTTCCCTCGCCTCTCCTCTCTCGCCCTTCTCACTGCAACCGCCCCCTCCGACTCCTCGCTCCTTTCACTGCTCGGACTCCTTTCTCTCTTGCCTCTTGCCTCATCTCTAATTCTCCCTTCCCCATCACTCTTCCTCTCCACCCCACCACTCTTCTTCTCCTCTCTATCGCTCATCTCAGCACCATGGGAGCTCTCAGGGGTATCAGGCCCATAGCGGAGAGCAGCGGCCCTTTCCTTTTCCGACTCTTCTTCCTCCTCCCTTCCTCTCGCCTTCGGAGTCTCTCTCTCATTGTCACTTTCTTCCTTCCTGCCTTTCCTCCTCCTCTCCTCATTGCTATCATCCGACTGGCTATCACCCCTCCCTCGCTTCCGTCCCTTTCGTACCGCATTCCTTCTCCGTCTCTCCTTCATCCTCCTCGCATCTTCATCCTCCCCCTCATCATCACTCACTTTGCCATCTCCCCTCGACCTCCTATTCCCCACCTTCCCACCACCCCCACTCCCCTCCTCTGAGTCTCCTCCACTAGAGTCTGATCCGTCCGCCCTTCGCTTCCTCGTCTCATCCTCAATGCTCTCTTCTCTCGATTTCTCCTTCCGTCTAATTTTCTCTGGAGACTTCACCCCTTTCTCCGTGCTTCGAGACTCTTCATGCTCCCCTCCCCTGCCCTCCCTCACATCCCTCTGTTTGCCCCTCCTCTCCTCCTCCTCCTCCTCCCAATCCTTCCCCCTCTTCTCTCCATCACTCTCATCATCATCTGACACGCTCTCACTCCCCTTCTCCATCCGTTTAACCTTATTCCGCTCTTCTTCCCTCCGATTGCCGCGCCTTCCGCCCCGGTCGCTGTCCCTGTCACCCTTGTCTCGCTCACCGTGCTTTCCTTTACCCCGCCTCTTCTCTCCACTATCGCTGTCCCCATCGCTCTCCTCCCTCCTCCCTCTCTTCCTGTCCTTCATATCAGCATCATCCCTCTCGACTCCTCCCCGCCTATCCCTCTTCTCATCCTTCCTCCTCGTTTCCCTAACTCCCTTTCTCCTCGCCCTCTCCGCACTGCCATCATCAGCACTGTCTCTATCCGAATCATCTCTTTCCCTTTTCCGCCCCCCACGACCCTCCTTCTTCACCTCACCTCTGTGCCTCTCTTTCCTCTCCTCTTCCTCACCATGCTCCCTGTCCTCATCACTACTCTGCCTCCTCTCCCTTCCCTTCTTCCTCTCATCCCTCCCCTCCCTCTCCTTCCTTTTACCTCCCTCGCTGTCTCCCCCCTCCTCCCTCTCACCATCCTTACCACTTCGCGTCGTCCTCGTCCCCTCCTCCCTGTCCTCGTCAGATTCCTGCCCTCTTCGCCGTTCTCGTTTCTTCTCCCTCTCACGCCTCTTCTCCTTCTTCCCTTCCTCCTCCTCCTCCCCCCTCTCACGCCCCTCACGCTTATGCTTGTGCTCATGCCCATGTCGCCTTCCCCGTTTCACCTTCTCATCCGTCTCCTCGTCCTCCTCCCTTGCACTCTCCTTGCTATCCTCCCTCCTCCGGTGCCGGCGTTTTTCATCCCTCTCTTCATCTCGTCCTTTATCCCTCTTCTTCTTCTCTTTCTCCTCCCTCTCCCTCTCCTTCTCCCTCTTCCTTTCCTTCTCCCTCTCCTTTTCCCTCTCCCTCTCCCTCTCCTTCTCCCTCTCCCTCTCCCTCTCCCTCTCCCTCTCCTTCTCCCTCTCCCTCTCCCTCTCCTTCTCCCTCTCCCTCTCCCTCTCCCTCTCCTTTTCCTTCTCCCTCTCTCTCTCCTTCTCCCTTTCCTTCTTCCTTTCTTTCTCTCTCTCCTTCTCTTTCTTCCTCTCCTTCTCCCTCTCCTTCTCCCTCTCCTTCTCCTTCTTCCTCTCCTTCTCTTTCTCCCTCTCCTTTTCCGCGCGCCTTTCCTCTCGCTTCTCCCTGTGGCTGTGCTTGTGCGTGTGCTCCTTATCCCACCCCTCCTCGTCATCTCCCTCCTCGTCCCCATCATCAACCCGCTTCTTCACTCTCCTCTCCTTCTCCCTCTCCTCAGACCTCTTGCTCTTCTCCTCCTCGTCGGCCTCTCCTCGTTCTCCCTCCCTATCCGTCTCTTTCCCAAGATCCACAGCCACAGCCATCCCCCCGCCTGTCTCCCCGTCCTCCCCCCTCAAATCATCCTCCCACTTCTCCCTCTCGCTCCCTTCCTTGTTCATGTCTCCCCAACCGCTCCCCCCCTCATCCTCTCCGCGCTCCACTCCTTGCCTCCCCACTCCATGCTCCGCCAGAGCCTCTCCTTCGGCCCCCACTGCATTGCTGCCCAGTTCACTCTTTCTCTCAACATTCTCTTCCTTCTCTTCCTTCTCCTCCTCTACCTTCTCTTCGTTCTCCTTCTCTTCCTTCTCCCTCTCCTCATCCTCGTCCTTATCTACCTCTTCCACCTCCACGCCATCCCTTTCCCCTCTCTCCGCCTCCTCCATCTCTTTTTCACCCACCCCTTTCCCCTCTTTCTCCCCTTCTTCATCCGCCTTCTCACCCTCCTCCCTGCTCTCCTCCTCTCCCTCCCCTCCACCCTCTCCCAACGCTCTCCCTTCTCCCCTCTCCTCCTTATCCTCTCCCTTCTCCCCACCTCCTCTCTTCTCCTCCTCATCATCCTCCTCTTCCCTCTCCCTCCTCCTCCTCCTCCGCCTCCGATCCCTCTTCACCGCGGCAACATCCACCTCCTGCCCGTCGTCATCGATCACCCCAGCCTCCCTCAATTCCCCCTCCAGGCTCCTCACATGCTCGCGCCACAGCTCCTCCCGCTCGTGCCGGACCAGGTCGCGGTACCGGTCCTGGTGCCGAAGCACGGACTTAGCATCGGGCCAGGAGGAGGCGAGGCGGAGCCCGTCCTCACGAGCCTCGGAGATGGCGGCCACTGACAGCTCCTCCTCCAGTAGCTCGCGGAACTCCCTCTGCACGCGCTGTTGGGGGGAGAAGAGGAGGGGGAAGGGGTGAGGGGGGGAGGGGGGGAGATGTTTTGAGTCGATTCGACGAGCAAGCCTCAGAGAAGGCTGCCACTGAGAGCTCCTCCTCTAGAAGCTCGCGGAACTCCCTTTGCACGCGCTGTTGGGGGGAGGGAAAGGAAGGGCGAACAGAGGGAACGAAGGGGGATGAGGGAGATGAAGGGAATGGGCGGGGATAGGGTGGATAGGAGGGGCGTGGGGAAACGAAGGGGGATGCGGGCAGAGAGGGGGTGGGGAGGAGAAGAGACGAAAGAAGGAAGGGCAGGGATCCCGGTGATGCATTCCGAAGGCGAAGGCCCGTGCATGGTGCGACCTGAGTGATCCTAAGTGCATGGTGCGACCTGAGTGATCCTAAGTGCATGGTGCGACCTGAGTGATCCTAAGTGCATGGTGCGACCTGAGTTGAGTGATCCTAAGTGCATGGTGCGACCTGAGTGATCCTAAGTGCATGGTGCGACCTGAGTGATCCTAAGTGCATGGTGCGACCTGAGTGATCCTAAGTGCATGGTGCGACCTGAGTGATCCTAAGTGCATGGTGCGACCTGAGTGATCCTAAGTGCATGGTGCGACCTGAGTGATCCTAAGTGCATGGTGCGACCTGAGTGATCCTAAGTGCATGGTGCGACCTGAGTGATCCTAAGTGCATAGTGCGACCTGAGTGATCCTAAGTGCACAACAGGTCATGGCATGCACGGGAGGGAATGCACCTTGATGAGGCGGGCCATGTGCTCGTAGAAGAGGTCAACTTGATGAGGCGGGCCATGTGCTCTTAGAAGAGGTCACCTTGATGAGGCGGGCCATGTGCTCGTAGAAGAGGTCACCTTGATGAGGCGGGCCATGTGCTCGTAGAAGAGGTCACCTTGATGAGGCGGGCCATGTGCTCGTAGAAGAGGTCACCTTGATGAGGCGGGCCATGTGCTCGTAGAAGAGGTCACCTTGATGAGGCGGGCCATGTGCTCGTAGAAGAGGTCACCTTGATGAGGCGGGCCATGTGCTCGTAGAAGAGGTCACCTTGATGAGGCGGGCCATGTGCTCGTAGAAGAGGTCACCTTGATGAGGCGGGCCATGTGCTCGTAGAAGAGGTCACCTTGATGAGGCGGGCCATGTGCTCGTAGAAGAGGTCCTGGCGGTCGCGGCTGGTGAGCTCCTTGTTCCAATAGCACGACGCCTCGTCCTCCTCCAGCTTCTCCCGAGCATCAATCCACGATATCTGCCACCACCCAGGGGGCGGGCGGGCGGGCGGGCGGGCGAGGGAGGGGGGGAGCAGCAGTGAGCAATGAGCATGGAGGCGACAAGGCAACCAGGGGGCGGGCGGGAGCTGGGAGGGAATACATCAAGTGGGCAGTCCAGCGGAGGGAGGGAGTAGCAGTGGGCGATCGTCACACCAAGGGAACATCACACGCACACGCATGCGAAAGCGCAACAAGTCGATTGCTTCATGCAGAATGCTTAGAATCATCCCTTCCCCCACCAACCCCACCTTTCCTCCCTCTCTCCCCCCATTTCCCCTCCTTTCCCCCCCTCCTCCCTTCCCCCAATCCTTCCCCCTCCCCCCTACATTGGGCGTCAGTATCTCGCGCCTCAGCAGGTCCTCAAAGTCCTCCTTGGCCTCTCGCCGCCGCACGCGCGCCCGCTCCCGCTCCTTCTTCTCCTCCTCCCGCTGCCGCAGCCTCTTCTCCTCTCGCTCCTGCTCGCGCTTCCGCTCCTGCAGCCAGCAACCACAGAAACATCACAACACACATTCCTTCCCTTTACAGCAATCTCTTCGTTACGACAACTGCACAAACCTCCGAGGCAAATAACAAGCTCTAGAACGAGTAGCGAGCGGCAGCAAGCACAGCAGAATAAGGGGGCATGCCACATCCCCCCAATCCCCTCTCCCCTCTCTTTTTCCACCCACCACGCCACTCACCTCCTCCTCCCACCGCCTGCGCGCCTCTCTCTCCTTCTCCTCCTCCTCGCGCTGCAGTGTGTCCATGAATGCGTCAAACAGCCGCTCGCGGTCCTCCCAGTGCTCCACCGCACTGTACCGCTCATCCTCCTTCAACTCCTCCCGCAGCTGCAAGGGGAGACGGGAAGAGAGGTCGGCGGGTGAGGAGGGAATGAGAAGCAGAAGTGAGGTGGGTAGGTGGGGGACGGGGAAGGGATGATCCTTCCCACGCGCCATTGCTGCACCCTTCTCGCTGTGCTTGCTGTGCGTGGCAGACAGGGAGGAGCACGAGAGTGAGGGTCACGAGTGCGCATCACATCGCATCACATCGCATCACATCACATCGCATCACATCGCATCACATCGCATCACATCGCATCACATCGCATCACATCACATCGCATCACATCGCATCACATCGCATCACATCACAGGGGCGACTCTAGAGACGGATGACCGGAATGCAGTCAGCAGTGCAAGACTAGCGTGCTGGAGTTCGAGTTTCACAATGCCTGAGATTCACTGCTATGCAGTAGCAGCACTAGCAGCAGCGTTTACCCAATGCGTGCAGTCAGCACAGCAACCGGGTTTTTCAGGCATCCCAGCGCGTGTGGTTGTCCTTGAACCTGCTGCACGTGTTACACATGCCATGTGCATGCCATGCCACCACGCATCCATGATACATAGTCTAGCCTAGCTTACAAACGCAGACCTCAAACCTGCTGAAAAGAGATTCTAGCATGTGATTCATTTTCCAATTGCGTTGTTTAAAAACGCTCAATGTAGGTAATTAAACCTGCTCAAGTCATATTTTTTAAGCTGACTGAATAAAAAGCGCCTCTGCATCTCAATTTTGGAATGGGCAAACATGTTTGTTCGAAAACACATGCTATGTGCAATTTGAACTGCGCTGCTGATAGATCGTTTGAAAGATCAAAACGTGAATTTATGTTATTTACTTTGTGCAGTGAAAAAGAGAGTCACCTTGGACCAGCGGGAGGAGAGGGCAATGTAGCGCTTGCCACGGTACTCTTTCAGCATCTCCACAAACGCTTCTTCAGCCGCCTCCTTGCGCTCCTGCTGCCTCTCCTCCTCCAACCTCTTCAGCGGCACCACCCTGCCATGGTGAAGGTGCATGGCACAAACACAGATGCAGTTACAGGCACAGGCACAGACAGGCTTGGAAGGGAGGGAAGAACAAGGCGCCCTAGAAGCAACGCGTGGTTCCTTCCTAAGCCGCACAACTTTTGACTTCCAAGTATCGCGCCGCCCCTACATCCTCACTCAAGAGGGCCTGCCTTTTCAGTGACTCAAGAATCGTGATGCTCCTGAGTATGTGATTGCAAAATTCTTACGTTGCAAGAACCGTGCCGTGCCTACAGCCACACTCAAGTTAAGATGTCCTGGCCACCACAGGCAGCGGCTGATGCATCATGCACCAGACAGACCGTGCACCAGATCATGTGCAACAGATCATGCGCAACAGATCATGCGCATCAGACCATGCATCAGACCATGCACCGGACCATGCACCGGACCATGCAGCGTGCAACCTGATTTGCATGATCATCAAGAACAAGCCATTCTGCTACCAACCCGAACGAGCCGTACAATGACACAAAAGGCGTCTCAGGGAGAGGAAGTTTACACACGAGGGGCAGGTGAGAGGGAAGAGAGAGTCAGAAGGCTGTGATAGTGCCTATAATGTTATCTCTGGCTGCTGGCCTGCAGGGGGAAGGAGTATTGGCAACAGAGAATGCAGCGGGTAGACGCACAAACACCTATGGCCCCATCACATGGATTTATTTGAGGTGTCTCAAACATTTTAGTTTCCACTTATGTTGCCAAAAGAGCAGTAGAGAGTCAAGACTTCAAAACTGAAGAAACGATTTCATACAATCACAAAACAACATCACTGCTTTTCAACTATGTTGCACCTGACGCCCAGCAAGGGCAGCGTCCAGCGTCCGGACGGTCACGTCCGGACGCTGGACGCGCCAAACATGTTTGTCGCTGGACGTTCGGGAAAAATATTTTCGGGCAGCCCGGAATTTGTTTGTTTTGCTGCACGAAATTGACTCGCGATTTCATCGCGACCAGAATCGCGATGAAATCGCCGAACGTGGGTTGCGATTTTGACCTACAAAAACGCAACCCACAGTTTTTCCCCCTCACACATTTGGTTTGGACCCATCCCCATCTAGTTCTCCCAACCAGGTCGACCCCCAACTAAACCAGAGAGCCAGATCCAGGTCGACATTAGAGAGATCTGTTTCTCTCGACATTGCCTAGCATACCTATCCCTACAATTCGCTTCGCCAGTCACGCTACTTAGGCTTTGTAGTGTGAATTTAGGGTTAAGGAGATTAAGTTACAATGTCATCTCCTAGTCCCGCCGGTCAATCTGGTAGTGGCTCCACACCTTCTGCAGGTGGTGTGGAGGGAAAACGCAAGTACGACAAAATGCATCTTAACCCCCAAGTAGCCTTACTAAGCAGGTTTTTTTACCCTGCCCGGGAAAATCTTTGCCCTGCCCGGACTAGCGTCAAGAGGGCGTCCAGGGCAGAGGAATCCGGGCGTCCAGCGTCTGGACGCCCCGTCCTGACGCCAGCATAAAAAACGCTGGACGCGCCAGGCGCAACATAGCTTTTCAGAGCAAACATGGCATGCCACGACATGAATGACATGAAAGCAAAACATGGCGAACGAAAAATGCCATGAGATGGAAATCAGGATGACGGGAAGGACTTGATTCAAAGAACTCAAATTCCTTTCTTCCCCAAAGAAAAATCATTCTTTCTTTTTCTGATGAGATGAAACGTCAAATGAAGATAACTTCCTTTCCTTGCTCATGTTCAATAAAAACTACAGTGTGTCACACATCTTGCTTTGCACAAATGGAGAGAGAGGGATTACATGACATACAATAGTTTATTTGCTTTCTTTTGAACATATTCTTCAAACCTTCCTTTCTTTTCAAGAAAGCATTCAGGACATGATTGATGATTCGAGCAAAACCAAACAGCTACTTCCTGTACGAAGTAGATTTGGCTACAGAAACGAAGATGCCATGGCTCAATGACAGAAGCAACATGGAAATAAATAAAGGCAACGATGACATGGCTGTGGAGGATGTGGACGAATCTTGAGTGCACGGAAGCAAGAAAGGGAAGAGGAGGCCAGCAGGAGCAACAACAACCAACCAACCAATGCTATCTTGAAGCAATGTTAGCTTTATCAGTTAAGTTCTTAGTGGACCACATTTTCCGAAGAGACTTGAAGCAAGCAGCATTATTCTGATCGGGTGAACCATTGGCAGTGGTGAAGACAGGCAGTGGTGAAGACAGGCAGTGGTGAAGACAGGCAGTGGTGAAGACAGGCAGTGGTGAAGACAGGCAGTGGTGAAGACAGGCAGTGGTGAAGACAGGCAGTGGTGAAGACAGGCAGGAATAGCAATTCATGTGGCCCGAAACAAAAAGAGCATCACTCAGTTCACACTTCCCAGGGGGGGCATCATTACCACGCTGCATGCTCGCCTCGCCAATGAACCTTGCACCCGAGGTGCTGTGCTGTGAGTGCTCTTATCACTGCCCGACTGGCAAGTCTTGACAACGGTGCAACTTAAGCAACCATGGTTCCCAAGTTCAATTCATATGTCAAGTCTACGATATTTAATGTGCACATCAAACGGAGGGACTCAAAGCTTCTTTTCTTTCTCAATAATCAGTTGCAAGGTAGCCTATGTGTGACCTGGCTTGCCTGGAAAGCTAATTCGTTTTGGCCGTTTTGCCTGCTTAACTAGAACGCATGTAAACACTATTGCAAGTAATGGTTTGCTGAAAAGTGGGAGACAAAACGGGCAGGAAGGAGCAAAAGTGAAAGAGGGGTCGTACCGCTCATTGAGAAGTGCGAGGCGGTCCTTGTCCTCCAGCGCTGCAGCCAGCAGGCGCGGGTCCGAGCCCCACTTGGCATCGCCGTGCAGCGTTTCCACCGTTGACTCGTGTGTCAGGTCCTGAGGGCGTGAGGGCGCGCATTCAGAAAGGACAGACTGAGTTAAAAAACCAAAAAAGAGAGAATGAGTGGATGCACAGAACACAGCCTTTGGAATGTTCACCACAACACATCGGCTTCATAATAGGTCCCCTCAGTACCCTCCTCACTCCCCCTAGTAACCCCTCAGTCAGTCCCACCTTCCCCCAGTTACCCAGAGTAGAAGAGACTCCTTAGCCTCGATGTGAGACTCACCCCGCTCTCCTCCATCTCGTCCAGCAGGGCTTTAAACGCCTCCACAGCCGCCTTGTGTGCCGACCGCTTCTCCTTGCGCTCCGCTGTTGCCCGCGTGCGCACAAACTCCTCAAATATGGCCCGCCGCTCTGGCAGCGAGGGGATGGCCTGCACGTGAAGCAAGGAGAGAATGTGGTGTCAAAATTCATGTGCGCACTGCTGTCGCCCGCGTGCGCACAAACTCCTCAAATATGGCCCGCCGCTCCGGCAGCGAGGGGATGGCCTGGATATAAGAACGGATATGATCAATTTGCACGCACTCGTCTAACGCATCCTCCACTGCTGCCGTGTGATTCGAAGTTCTACCAATGGCCCTTGTTTTAGGTAGAGCAGACATGTGGGCGACACAAGGCAAGCGGCAAGCGGGAGAGCAGTAAGAAGTGCAATTCGTGGCAGTGTGCATACCTTGTAGCGCGCATCGAAGATGAGCTTGGGCAGCTCCTTCTCCCACTTGGAGAATGGCGCCACTCCCTTCTCCTTCAACATCTCCTGTTGCGTCCCAACACACACAGTGGCGTCACATGCGCCATGCACAGACAGAGGAGTAACGCTGAGAGTGGTACATGACAGGCATGCACTGTGTGAATTGCTGAGACAGGCTCGCGAAACCACACGTCGCAATAAACATCTGCTCTTTGTGTGTAATCGTTCGAAGGAATAATGGCAAGGGGGAACAGAGTAACCAGGGGAGGATAAACAAACAGAAGTGTAAGGGGACAGAATCGAAGAGAGGAGACGCGAGGAGAGGAGAAAGCGAGGTAACTAAGCGAGTGCAAAGCCCAACGGTTGGTGGCTGGTTCCATTTCGTGAATGCGAAGCATAAGATGTCATGTCATCCTGCACGTGACAATGCCACCAAATGTTGCACCACTCCATGCCACCCCGTCTTTCACGATGCCATGCCACGTTTCACCACACCACACCACACCACACCACACCACATCGGGCCATGGCAGCACGTACACGGAACTTCATGGCCCTTTCTTCCAGACTCAGCTCTTCCAACGGAACCTCCGCCCCGCCCTTCTCCTCACTCCCCTTCTCCTCACCCTCCTTCTCCTCACCCTCCTTCTCCCCGCCGCCCTTTTCCCCGCCCTCCTTCCCCTGTGCCACCTCTCCACCGTCTCCCCTCTCCCCTCCACCATCCTCTCCCTCCTGCTTGCCTTCTTCGCCCTCCTTCTCCCCATTGACTCCCTTGACTCCGTTGACTGCGTTGACCTCCTTCCCATCCCCACCCTGTGCTCCTGCACTGCTCTTTCCAGGCTTGGTCGTCGCAGCAGCAGCAGCAGTCGGAGCAGCCATGACAGCAGCAGCTGCTGCTGCGCCTGCCTTCATCTCCTTGTCGGCGTCCTGAAGGGAGGAAGAGGGAATAGGGAATAGGGAATAGGTAAAGGTGTGTTAACTTCATAGTTATTGCTTCGCTCTCGGGTGAACTCAGGGAATAGAGGCGAGTGCAGTGACACAAGCAGCAGGAGACAGGGGATGGGAGCGGGAGCAGGGCTGGCCAAGGGAAAAGGGAGCACGGCACAACAGCAGCAACCTGAACGGACGAAGCATCTCCTGCTCGAACTAACTGCCATCTCTGCAATCTCCCCCGCCACCCGCCACTTCCCCCTTTTAAGTCCTAACTTACCAACATCTCAAAACCTCCCTTCTCCCACCCTCATCCCTTCCCTACTCCCTCCCCCCCTCAATAATCACCTGCAGCTTCTTCTTCACCACCTCCAGCGCCGTCGCCTTGCCCAATGCTGCTGCTGCGCCCGCCGTCAACCCTAATCTACCACCCGCCCTCTCCCCCTCCCCCCTCCCCCCCCCCCCTACCGTAATCACCTGCAGCTTCTTCTTGACCACCTCAAGCGCCGTCGCCTTGCCCCCTGCTGCTGCGCCCGCCTTGCTCGCCGCCCCCGCGCCCCCCCGCCCCGCCAGCGAGAAGGAGAGCTTGCTGGCGGCGCGCGCCTGCTCCTCCTCCTCCGCCTCGTGCCGCTTCCGCACCTCCTGCACCTCCCCGGGCACCTGCCAGCTCGTGTCCTGGCGGAGGGGGGAAGGGGGGGGCGGAGGGGCATGGGAGGTGGAGAGGGTAAGGAGCGAGTCAAGGGGGAAGGTAGGATGGCAAGTAAGCCGCTTCCGCACCTCCTGCACCTCCCCGGGCACCTGCCAGCTCGTGCCCTGGCGCGCAGCAGCGGAGGGTGCGGCGGGGACGAGAGAAAGAGCGGGGGAATGGGGAGGGGGGGAAACGGAAGAGAGGCGGATGCAGAGTCAAGGGGAGATGATAGGATGGCGATGGGATTGAAGGCAGAAGAAGCAGAGACGAGAGACGGCAGGGTGAGTGAAAAGCATCGCTTGGCGTGAGAGTGGTGCACAAGGGAGTGACTGACCTGCGTGACGGTGTTGTAAAAGTACTTGTTAATAAAAGTGACGTTTGGAGACGTCTCAAAACTTCACTTTTACAACAAGGCAGGGCAGGGGCTGACCTGCGTGACGGTGTTGTAAAAGTACTTGTTAATAAAAGTGACGTTTGGAGACGTCTCAAAACTTCACTTTTACAACAAGGCAGGGCAGGGGCTGACCTGCGTGACGGTGTTGTAAAAGTACTTGTTAATAAAAGTGACGTTTGGAGACGTCTCAAAACTTCACTTTTACAACAAGGCAGGGCAGGGGCTGACCTGCGTGACGGTGTTGTAAAAGTACTTGTTAATAAAAGTGACGTTTGGAGACGTCTCAAAACTTCACTTTTACAACAAGGCAGGGCAGGGGCTGACCTGCGTGACGGTGTTGTAAAAGTACTTCTTGCCATCACTCGTCGACACCAGCGCCCAGTCCGTGCCCTGCACTCGCTCCCTGTTGCTCACATGCACACACAGACACACACGCACGCGCACACACAAGTAGAAACGCGGACATGATTTCAGACACATACATGAAGACGGAGAAGACCCAATAAGAGCACGAGCACAACGAGAGCGCAGTGATGCATGGCACATGCCGGTGGGTGGGTGCGTGCGGAGGACTGCAATTCACGTCGCCCACATTCCACATGACAGATACCTACTGCCAGTCTACATGCAATGCTCTCCATGCCCTCTCGCCATGCCATGCTCTCCATGCCCCTCACCATGCCATGCTATGCTATGCCATGCCATGCCATGCCATGCCATGCCATGCTATGCTATGCCATGCCATGCCATGCCATGCCATGCCATGCCATGCCATGCCATGCCATGCCATGCCATGCCATGCCATGCCATGCCATGCTATGCCATGCCATGCCATGCCATGCCATGCCATGCCATGCCATGCTATGCTATGCTATGCCATGCCATGCCATGCCATGCCATGCCATGCCATGCCATGCCATGCCATGCCATGCTCACCATGCGACGGGAGTGGGCTGCTTCTCCACCTTGTCCTCCTGCACACACGCACACGCATAAGCACCCACGGGGAGACACACATGTCCACACCACACAGGCTCAAAGACAGGCAGACATGAACCAACGTGCAAAGGAGCAGAGAGCGGCAAGGCAGGCAGGAAGACAGAGCGCGGGGAGGGGGCGAAGGGGCACCTGGAGTTTGAAGCCTTTGGGTTTGTGGTAGGTGGAGCGGCCAGTGACAGTGTTGTAGTAATACACCGTGCCCTCCTCCGTCTTGTGCGCCGTCCATTCCTCCACTCCCTCCTCCGCCTGCTCCTCCTTCTTCTCTTCCTTCCCCTCCTTTATCTCCTTCCCCTCCTTGACCTCCTTTCCCTCCCCCTCTTTCTCCTTGGTTGCGTCCTCAGTCCCCTCCCCTTGCTTCCCCGCTCCTTCCTTCTCATCCCCCTCTCCCCCCTCCTTGTCTCCACCACCTTCTTCCGCTCCCCCTCCTTCCTTCCCTTTCCCCTTCTCCTCCTCCCTTTCCTCCACCTTCTCCTCCCCTTTCCCCTGCGCCTCCCGGTCCCACCTCGATTTCTTCCCCCCTTTCACCCCTCCGCCTGCGCCCTTCCCCGCGCCCTTCTTTCCGCCCTTCTCCCACGGGAGCTCCTCCCCCGCGGGGAGCGGGGGGCCGCCGCCGGAGATGACAGCCGCCATGGCGGCGGCCGCCTGCAGCCACGCGGGGGGAAGGGGGGGCTGCGGCGCGAGCGGAGGGTTGGGCTTTAAGGTGATGGCGGCGGGAGGGGTGGGGGGAGCTGCAGCAGCCGGGGGAGGCGCAGGCGCAGTGGCAGCAGCGCCAGTTGCGGCGGCTGTAGCAGCAGCGCCAGCTGCGGCAGGAGCGTCAGGAGCGGCAGGGGCAGCGACAGGCGCGCCGGGAACGGCGGCAGGGGCGGCAGCTGGTGCAGCCGGCGCAGCAGCAGCAGGGGTAGGACCTCCAGTCGCTGCAGTGGCTACCGCTTGCGCCTCTGCTGCTGCCGCTGCTGCTGGCGCTGCCGCTGCTGCTGGCGCTGCTGCTGGCGGCATACCGTTTGGTACTTCGCCGGCTATTCCTCCCGCCGCTGCTGCTCCCACGGGGAGCGGTGGAGGAGGGGGGCCGGGAGTGAGCAGCGGCGGCGCTCCCCCCGGATGAAACCCCTGCTGGGCGGAAACTGGAGCCGGGGGGGCGCCGAGGGGAACGGGAGGCGCAAAAGCCGGAGAAGGCGCAAAAGGAGAAGGGGAAGCGTGAGGCAGGGGGTGGGGAGGGGCGGACCCCGGAAGCGCGGGGTACTGCAGCGCATGGGGTGCTGCTGGCCCATGCGCAATCCCCTGCGAGGGGTACGGCGGGTGGTGAGGCCCCGGCGGCATCCCCGGCCCCTGCGCGCGCATCCCTGCCGCGGGGGGAGGCGCGCCGTCCGTGACTGCCGTCACGTGCCACACGCCCGGCACCGCGCGCGCTGGCTGCTGCGGCGATTGTTGCTGCTGCGGCGGCGGATGCGGGGCATGCGGGGGAGGCTGCTGGAAATGTTGCGGGAAATGCGGCCCTTGCTGCTGATAAGGCGGTCCCTGCTGCTGATATGGAGGCTGATGCGGCTGGTTCGGCGGCTGATGCTGCTGATACTGCGGCGGATACTGCTGCTGCTGCGGCGGCGGCGACTGCGGCTGGTACTGCTGCTGGTGCTGATACTGCTGCGTGTGGTGCGGCGGCGGCGGCTGTTGGTGCGGCGGCCCCTGAAAGCCGCCCTGCCCCTGTCCTGCCGCGTGTCCTCCCCAAGGCGGCGCCCCTCCGCCTGGCGGAACTCCTTCGGGCGGGCCTGGCGGAAAACCCCCGTGCGCGTTCTGCGGCGGGCCTCCCCCGTAGGGCGGAGGGGGTCTTGCATAAGCGCCATGGGCGGGTTGTTGCGGAGAAAAGGGAGAATGTGGCGGATGGGGGGGATGCGACGGACCGGGAAACCGCGGCCCAGGCGAGCCCATCCCACGTGGAAACGGCATGCCAGGTGGCACATGACCAGGAGGTCCACGTGGCGCTAACCCGAGGGAGCCCTGTCCTGAGGGTCCACGTGGCCCAGGACCAGGTGACATGTGTTCTGGAGGTCCACGTGGTCCAGGTCCGGGTGACGCCGTGCCGCACGCTCCAGGTGGTCCGTCAGGTGGTCCGTCAGGTGGGCCCCTCACAGGTGGACCCATGCCAGATGGGTCCATCCGGGGATAAGGTGTTGAGTCACAGTTAAACAATGCACGGTATCACCAAGGCTTCAACGTAGAGAGAGGGTCGGCGAGCAATCCGGGTGGAGCGAAAAATGCATCTGAATGATCAGATCTAGTTTTAAAAAGAGATATAATATCTCGAAAGTAGGGATAAAAGTGCCGAGATAGTATGCGGAAGAATGTGGAGGAGCGGGAATGGGAGCTAGAGAGCGAGACGAGGAGGGAATGGTGAACAAGGCGGAGGCGCGAAGGAGAACAGGGTGCACGCAGACCACGATTTCATGGAATATAGTGATGACTCTACATCACATTGACCACCTGTCAACCACAGTACTCCAACGCAATTTTCTGTCGGACTCACGATTCTCTGGAACGCGTTCTAGAATAGAAGAGAGAATGTATCACGAGGATGAATGAAGAGAGCACGAGGAGGAATTGAGGGAGGGGCAGCCGGCTGTAGCTGCGAACCGCAGTCGTCGATCGTCGTGAGTCGCACGGTGATAGTCTGCGACGCCGTCCATTTGCCTCGCTGGCTGCTTTGCAACATTTCCTGCCAATCAACACCACCACCTTATCCTCCCCCATATGAGAACAAGAGTCTAGCCCTAAACTTCGGAAGTTGTGCATTCAAGCACAAATGTCCAACTGTCCTATCAAACATCACTATGAGCTTACACCAAGCAAAGTTGCTAACTTTGATTTACAGTTCTGCATAGAACCAGATCACAGCAGCAGCAGCAGCGGCCATACTGGTAAAAGCAAACCCCACTAACTTTATCACCCATCACGGCCTGAGCAACTACACATACCGTGGCCTAACAAATCACGGCAAATTAGAATCCCCCATGGCAAGACCCTCAAGCCACATGCAGACCTAACGTATTCCTGCATGACCCCTAGAGACCGCATACACAACAGGTGCTTCACTCCAAGACCCCTTATGTGACACCCCTGCACACATCAGGGATGGCATGTCAAGGCATGGTGGTACAGGCACGGAACCAGCTGCTCTGAGAGGCGAGGAGTGGCTGGGGTCGCATCGCAGGTGCTCCTGTCACCTGATGACTGCCTGGTGGCCCATCTTAGCAGCGAGTGCATCAAAGTACCCCACCATCTGGTCCCTCTTGTCCAGCACCCTCTCCATCTCCCCCGCCGTCAGTGCGCCGCCCATCTCCTCCAACAGCTGCGCGCGGTTCATTCTCCTCAGGCGCGTAAGAACAAACCCTGCCACCGTCTTCAGTCTGCCGCCCGCTCCTGTGCCGCGCTTGGACCACATGGCGTGCAGGCCGGCGCCAAGCGAGGGGCCCATGGGGTGCGAGAGCACTACGGGCGAAAGCTTGCCGTCCCCGGACCAGTGCTGGGCGGCGAAGAAGCCGGAGGGGCGGCGGAGGGAGGAGCCCATGAGGGCGTCGAGGATGCGGATGCTGCTGATCACCGTGTGTGCCTGTGTGGGCGCGCGCAGGCGCTGGAGTAAGGGCGGAAGGAGAGGGGTGCGGGAAATTCGATTGAGATGGGAAGGGGAGAGTTCATTTGCACGTATGTAAATATATGCACATACACATATAACAAAAACTAATGCTGACTTTGATTTGGAGCAGCAGAGTGAAGGAAGCACTGAGTGTGTGAAGAAGGAAACTTGCAAGGAGGGCAAGGGAAGGGGAAGACGAGGAGAGGAGAGGAGCGACTTGCAGAGGGGTGCAGGGACGGAGAAGGGAAGGGGAAGGCTCACGGAAGGGTGCACGGAGGCGAGCGGGTGCAGCAGGTGCGGCAGCAGCGTCATGGTGCCCTGCGCGAACCGCCGCGACCCCAGCTGCACGCCCTGCCTCACCGCCACTGGCGGCACCACGTCCACCCCCATCACGCGCGAGAGCTGCTCGGAGGGAGGGAGAGCGGAGGGGGGAAGGGGGAGGAGGAAAGGGGAAAGAGAAGGGAAAGGAAAAGATGGGGAGAATGCAAGCACAAGCCTTTAGAAGAAGTGGCGACAAGAGAAAGGAAAGGAAAGAAATGCCAAGAACGGAAGAAAGAAAGACTGACGCGCCTCAGTCTGACTTACCTTGTACGCGACCCATTCCGCCGGGGCGCGCTGGAATCGCAGCCTCGCGTCGCCGCCAACCACGGGCCGGTACAGCGCCTGCACCGTCTTCTCGCCGTCAGCCCCGTCGCCCGCCGCGAGATTGACCACGTAGAGCGGACGGAACGGCGTGGATCCGAGCTCGCGACCGGCCATCCTCCAGCTGACGATCCTGCCCGTCGATAGCAGCTCCACTAGCTCCCTCTCCTGCTCCCTCTGCTCCTGCGTCAGCACCTGATCCTCAGCCTTTTCCGGCGCAATTTGCGGTGCTACTAGGGAGGAGTCAGTCGGCTGCTGTGCTGGCGCGGGCGCCAGTGGCTGCTGCGCCGCGGACGAGACGGCTTCTGCTGCTTTCCGCTGCGCCTTTTGGTCCAACACGAGGCACGTACGCGCTATAGCGCGCGTCGCCATGGCCATAGTGCGCTCCGTGTACGCGGCACGGTCCACTAGATCCGCGGCCCGGACAGACGCCGTTACAGTCACGACCGCCGTTTGCGTTTCCTCATCGAATCGAATTGACGCGCGAGTACACGTCAGCGCGTCCATCTGTTGCACGTCGAGCTGCTGCTCGCTTGCGGGAAATGCTGCGGGACTTTCGGAGGGAGAGAAACCAGAGAAAAGGGTGGAGAGGCTCTGGGCTGAGAAGGACGAGGGAGAGAGAGGGACCGAGGATGCATCCGACGGCGAGGATGCGTCGATGACAATCGGAACGTCTAGATCAACGGCTGGGATGCTCCCAAGGTCGAGTTTGATCTGCTGCGAAACGAAGACTTGCTGCTCCTCCTCCACCTTACCGCCATCCGCATCGGCATCGAATTGTAAGTCGTTTTCTCTACTGTCTGATACATTATCCGTATTCCCGGCAACAACACCGGGAATGCCCGCCGCATCTCCCGCTGAAGGTGGAAAGACGGTTACCGACGTCTCAACGTCAGCGGCCCGCGTCTTAATCTTATAAAGAATGTGCTTAAGCTTCGAGAGCGTCGTGCGCGCCTGCGACTCGATGCGGTCGACGCCAGTCTCCGAGGCGCGAGGGCTCGACGGCTCGATGAGGCCCTCGTCGAGCGGCTCGGGCACGGAGATGGGAGCCACGGACGGCGGGGGGAGGGAGTCGGTTTCATCTGTGGGGACCGGGAGAGATCCTTGCCGTTCGATGGTCAGCGACGACTGCGGCGACGGTTTCTCGTCACACACGCCCAGCGAACCTTGCCGCTGGAGCGCCTTGGGCGATTGCTCAGTCGCGCCACTTGAATTAGTCACGCCGGATTTAGCCGCAGCGCGTACGGTCAAGAAACGCGCTCCCTGGAATTTCCGGCGAGGAGAGGCGAGGAAGGGTCTGTGAGAGCGGGCGTGGGAGAGAGGGGCGATGCTTAAGGCTGTGTATGCGGAGAGAGAGGAGGATGAGGACAACGCGGATAGGGAGGAGGCGGAGGAGATACGGCGGAAAGGGGAGGCGGAGAGGGATGACGCGGATGAGACGCGGCGGAACGAAGAGGCGGAGCAGCGCAGCGCGATGGTTGCCGTCCGACGCCGCAATGGGAAGCCGACACGTGGAGAGGAACGCAGTTGGCCGCCTGCACGTGGAGAGGTGAGCGCGGTGGCTCCGAGGGTAGCGCCTGCAGCGGCAGGCAGGGCGCACGAGGCTGCCATGGCGGATATAAGTTGGGCCAAGGCAGTGAGAGTCGACTGCACTGACTCTTAAACTGTGCAACGGGCGCGAAGGACCTAAGGCAGAGGTGGAATGTGTGGGTTTCTTGCCTTGCTGAAAATAATCGTCTAAGAATTAAAAACAGCTTTCAGATGGGAGGGAAGTTGATGTTAGGGCGAGAAGGGAACGGAGGAGGGGGGCAGGAAAATGCGCGTGCGAGAACGGGGGGGCGAGGGGAGATGCAGAGCAGTGAAGGGAAGGAAATGAAGGGCAAGGGCGCAGCGCAGCATCCCAGAACAGCACGCGCGGGGGAAGTTGGAACTCCGGACCAGAGGGGCGGGGAGGGGGAAAGCCGCGAACGATTGCCACTTGGAGGTCTGCTTGAAATCCAGACTCGAAGCAGGGCCGGAGAGGCACGCACGACACGAGCCAAGAATTGATCTGGTGGTGGCGAGGCGACAAAGATTGCAGCCAATGAGAGCAGCGGTGCAATGCAATTGGGCGAAAGTGAGGTGAGGGGACTTACGTTCGCATATCCGTTCGTCAAATGGAAAGCGTCGCACGAAGTGGCCAGTAGATTCGCCACCCTTCGTCCTCTCGCCAGGTTCCTCCTGTCATCGTGGAAGAACTGAATGTGAGCCCAGGTTCTTGTAACGGGAAGGGAATCTGGTGGCTTGCATTGGTCCCGACTCCTGGACCAGAAGAATCTTCGAGGCTGAGCTGGTTCCAACCATAAAGCCTTGCCATCTACACGTTTGACGAAACGAGAGCCGCACACAACCGTGCATGAACGTAGGACCGATACTGGCAACAGTGGAGAGCGACAGCTTGTTGGAAAAAAAAAAATGGAAACATGGGGAGAAAAAGCAGGCTTTGAACCTGACGTGAATCGAACACGCAACCTTCTGATCTGGAGTCAGACGCGCTACCATTGCGCCACAGATCCATGTCAAGCTAGTTGCTATTGCTAATATCATTTTCAAAACATCTTCTGCTTTTGGCTTATCAGCATGGCATCTGCTATCCATAAAAGAATGAGGCAAGCATTATGAACACGTACAACAGCAACTTATGAAGCAACAGTCTTCCATCAATATAAGGTGTCGGCTGGTTCACCTGTGCTCCCAGTTCATAGGGATGCCCTTAACCATGACCCATCATGCTCATGGCCATTCTCTTCCTTAGCCCCCTCCACTGCAGCTCCCACTGGCTCGTTTGTCTTAGCTGCAGCACTAACTCCTGCTTCATTCGCCTTATCACCTGGTGGTGGTGCAGGCCGGTTCTTGCAATATCTGTCAAGCCAGTTGGACTGCTCAGCAAGCACGTGTAACAGCGACTCACGCGCGCGGTAACCATGCCCCTCGTGTGGTAACAGCACCATGCGGGTGGTCACACCATGGCCCTTGAGTGCTGCAAAGAAACGCTCCGTCTGATTGGGTAACGGGTGAAGGTGTTGGGGTGAGGGCAACAGGGGTGATGAAAGAGTTGATGCCAAGGGGCTGTGGAAGCCTTGATGCCACACACGCGTGAACGTGATGCGAGTTCTCAACACCATACCATGCAGCCAGCAGCCAGAACTCATGTACATGAGCATCCTCCATACACGTACACCCTGCAGAACATCATGCAAGCACCATACATGCCTTACCGGACAAGCCCTAACTATACATGCCCTAACCATACATGCACTAACCACACATGCACTAACCATACATGCACTAACCATACATGCCCTCACCATACATGCCCTCACCATACATTCCCTCACCATACATGCCCACACCATACATTCCCTCACCATACACATCCTTACCACCCACGTCCTGACCACCCACGCCACCCCCTTCCACCACGCTCATGCCATGGAGCCCGTACCTGCATGGGGAAGGTGCCATGGAGCCCTGACCTGCATGGGGAAGGTGCCGGTGTTGTTGTCGTCCTGGCCGTGCACGAGCAGGATGGGCGACTTGATGCGGTCCGCCGCCAGGAAGGGGCTCATTGTCATGTACACCTCGGGCACCTGCCACAGCGTGCGCTCCTCCGACTGCAGCGAGGGGAGAGGGTGGAATGAAGGAGTGGACGAGAGGGTATGAAGGATGGACGGGAGATGGGAGGAAGGGGCTCATGGTCATGCACACCTCGGGCACCTGCCATAGCGTGCGCTCCTCCGACTGGAGAGAGGGGAGAGGTGGGAATGAAGGAGTGAACAGAAGGGTATGAGCGGGAGTGGCGGATCCTGCCATGCCACAACGTGCGCTCCTCCAACTCCCGAGGGGGTGAGTGGGAGCAGTGAGATGGGGGAGTGAGTTTCTCCCCCATCAGTTTCTCCCCCATCAGCTTCTCCCACAACAGTTTCTCCCCCATCAGTTTCTCCCCCATCAGTTTCTCCCCCATCAGTATCCCCCCATCAGTTTCCCCCCCATCAGTTTCCCCCCATCAGTTTCCCCCCATCAGTTTCTCCCCCATCAGTTTCTCCCCCATCAGTTTCTCCCCCATCAGTTTCCCCCCATCAGTTTCTCCCCCATCAGTTTCTCCCCCATCAGTTTCTCCCCATCAGTTTCTCTCCCATCAGTTTCTCCCCCATCAGTTTCTCCCCCATCAGTTTCTCCCCCATCAGTTTCTCCCCCATCAGTTTCTCCCCCATCAGTTTCTCCCCCATCAGTTTCTCCCCATCAGTTTCTCCCCCATCAGTTTCTCTCCCATCAGTTTCAGTTTCTCCCCCATCGGTTTCTCCCCCATCGGTTTCTCCCCCATCGGTTTCTCCCCCATCGGTTTCTCCCCCATCGGTTTCTCCCCCATCGGTTTCTCCCCCATCAGTTTCTCCCCCATCAGTTTCTCCCCCATCAGTTTCTCCCCCATCAGTTTCTCCCCCATCAGTTTCTCCCCATCAGTCTCTCCCCCATCAGTTTCTCCCCCATCAGTTTCTCCCCATCAGTTTCTCCCCCATCAGTTTCTCCCCCATCAGTTTCTCCCCCATCAGTTTCTCCCCATCAGTTTCTCCCCCATCAGTTTCTCCCCCATCAGTTTCAGTTTCTCCCCCATCGGTTTCTCCCCCATCGGTTTCTCCCCCATCGGTTTCTCCCCCATCGGTTTCTCCCCCATCAGTTTCTCCCCATCAGTTTCTCCCCATCAGTTTCTCCCCCATCAGTTTCTCCCCCATCAGTTTCTCCCCATCAGTTTCTCCCCCATCAGTTTCTCCCCCATCAGTTTCAGTTTCTCCCCCATCGGTTTCTCCCCCATCGGTTTCTCCCCCATCGGTTTCTCCCCCATCGGTTTCTCCCCCATCAGTTTCTCCCCATCAGTTTCTCCCCATCAGTTTCTCCCCCATCAGTTTCTCCCCCATCAGTTACTCCACATCAGTTTCTCCCCCATCAGTTTCTCCACATCAGTTTCTCCCCATCAGTTTCTCCACAGCAGTTTCTCCTGGTCATGGACAGGGAGGAAAGAGGGCGGGGAAGGGGCTGATGGTCATGTGCACCTCGGGCTCCTGCCACAACGTGCGCTCCTCCGACTCCCGAGGGGGTGAGTGGGAGCAGTGCCCTGCACACCACATGCACTCTGCTCTGCACTCACCTGGAAGGAGAACGGCGTGAGCGTGCGGTTGTACGCGCCGCTCTGAGCGATTGCACAAGCAAACAGGTGCGGTGCATGAGCAAGCAAATTAGCCGCCATGAACGCGCCGTACGAGTGGCCTCCAATGGCAATCCTGTCGCGCTGCGCCACGCCGCGCCCCACCACCTCATCCACCGCCGCCTCTGCACTGGACACCAGCTGCTCCACAAACCGGTCGTTTGCCTCCTCCTCGCCCTGCCCTATGATGGGCATTGATGGGCCACTCAGCACCGCGTAGCTGCACAGGGAGTGATGGGAGGAGAGGGGAGGGGCATGGGACGTGCAGAGAAGACGATGCACCTGCTAGGCACCTCAAAAACGATGGCACGGAACATGCAGAGAAAAAGAGGTTGCTGTAAGAGATACTTGGCTTGTTAGAGCAGACCCAGGCCATTCATCAGCACAAATCCCATGTGCAAGCACAGAGTGGGCATTTGGAGCAAAACTAAGGCCGTACCCTCTAGCCAGGAAGAGCAGTGGCGAAGAGGCTCCGATCCCAGGGAACTGGTTGGGCGAGCCCTGCACCTGCCCTGCGGCCTCCTTGCTCTTGTACTCCCGAGGAGACGCCCACAGCACTGTGGGCAGGGGCCCGTCTGGATCAAAGAGAAAGGGCCTTACCCTCTAGCGAGGAACAGCAGCGGTGAGGACGCCCCGATCCCCGGGAACTGATTGGGCGAGCCCTGCACCTGCCCCGCGGCCTCCTTGCTCTTGTACTCGCGGGGGTACGCCCACAGCACCGTGGGCAGCGGCCCGTCTGTAGCGGGGTTGTAGCCGGGCGGCAGGAAGAGCTTGGCCGTGAGCTGCACACCGTCGGATCGCGTGTAGCGGATGATCTCCTTGGAGAGGCCGCGGAGGGATGGGTAGGGGTGCGGAAAGTTCGTCAGCTGCACCTCTGACCCGTCCGCCCACCTGGTGGTGTGGGGTGGGGAGGAGGGAAAGTGTAGGGAGAGAAAGAGAGATTGAGAGAGGAGACATTGGAGGAAGGGCAGGAGTGTGGGGCGGAGGAGGTGGAGTAGGAACCGACCGCAGTAACCAGAAGAACTGGCGGTGATGAGTCAGACAAAAGCATGCACCCGTGCGTGCATGTGTGTGTGTGTGTGTGTGTGTGTGTGTGTGTGTGTGTGTGTGTGTGTGTGTGTGTGTGTGTGTGTGTGTGTGTGTGTGTGTGTGTGTGTGTGTGTGTGTGTGTGTGTGTGTGTGTGTGTGTGTGTGTGTGTGTGTGTGTGTGTGTGTGTGTGTGTGTGTCTTCAGCCCCACACTCCTGACGAACCCTAATGGCACAGGAGCAGCACGCACCTCCTGACGAACGACTGTGGAGGGTCATCCTTGGACTCGCGGGACAGAATGAGCTTCAAGTCCTTCAAGTCAATGGGCCCCTCCTCCTGATCCC